GGGGGAAGAGAAGAAGGGGGAAGGGGGAGCTCCCGGGGCTGGGGGGCTCCCTGGCCTCTGCGTGCGGAGAGGTTAAGGGAATTGCTGGGTCTCCTCTTTCAGATCTGCCTCCACTCGTGCTTCCAGACTAAGATGGTGGAGAGGTGTGGGTGTGCCCAGTACAGCCAGCCCCTGCCTCCTGCAGCCAACTACTGCAACTACCAGCAGCACCCCAACTGGAGTGAGTGAGCCCGCCCGCCTGCAGCCCCAGAGCTGCATCAGCCACCCGGCACCAGCTCGTGCTCGGGTGCCCCCGGGCCCCTGCCCTGGTGGCCTTTTTCTGAGGGAGATATTGGTAGAGAGATGTTAACCAGAGTTTTACTCCTGCCATCCAGCCTGGCTTAACAGATACTTTACAACTAAGGACCAAATGCTACAGCCCAGTCCGTGCTGAGAGCTTGGCACCTGTGTCAATTCCAGGAGGCAAGAACTATTGATAGTACCTGTCATAGAACAGGAAACTGAGGCTCAGAAAGGTTAAGCAACTTGCCCAAGGTCACACAGCTAGGGAGTAACAGAACCCATCAAGGGCTGCCAACCGCCACCCCACCCCCAGCACATGTCCCTAACATCACAAAGCAGCATCTGCTTCCGGGGAAGCAGGGTTTGTAGAGAAGAGCAGGAGAAATTACAAGGAGACCATGAGGGTGCCCCTGGAAGCCCCCAGGAAGGGCCCTGTGGCCCTGATGCTCATGCTGCCTCTGCTTGCCCCTCAGTGTACTGCTACTATGAACTGCACCAGGCCTTTGTCCACGAAAAGCTGGGCTGCCAGTCCGTATGCCGGGAAGCCTGCAGGTGAGTGTGCCTCGGGTGGGCCGGCAGGGGAGGGGCCGGCAGGGGGGGTGCAGCAGGGGGTGGGCTGGCCGGGCCAGCCACACTCACTCTGTGCCTTCCTCCCTTAGCTTCAAGGAGTGGACACTGACCACCAGCCTGGCGCAATGGCCGTCTGTGGTTTCTGAGGTCAGTTCTTCCACCCCCTCTTCCTCCTTGAGCTCCTCAGCCTGGAGCCTGATGCCTGGCCGTGTCCTCTGGCCTCAGGGGTGACACCAGGGGAGGCCTGGCCGGGGGCGGGGGCTGAGGGCGGAGGGCAGAGGGGCTGGCCGGCACTTTCTTTCATTGCCCAGGCCACAGCTTCTTTCTCCATCACAGAAATGGTTGTTGCGCGTTCTCACTTGGGACCAAGGCCAACAAATAAAGAAAAAGCTGAACAAGTAAGTTGACCTCCTCCCTGTTTCCTCTGCCCTGGACCCGGCCTCCTCACTTGCTTCCTCATTGCCAAACCTCCATTTCATTCACTCATTCCTTTACTCGACAAATACTTCTTGGCTTGGGCCATGAGCCAGGCCCTGCTCTAGGCCTGGGGCTCTTGAATATTTTGCCCACAACAAACAGTAAAAAATACTTTTCCACTGTGGCCCATTGACTACACAACCAAAATCTCAGCTCATAGATAGCACGCCTTCTGCACATGCACTCGGGCAGCTCTCAGAGGGCGCGTGCTCACGAACCGAGCCAGCCCTTAATGCCCATTCCGATTGCCCGGAGCAGTTCTGAGCGATTAGTGCTCGTATCAATTGATAAAAATTGTGACTCTCTCTATGGATGCAATCCGACACTTTCTATTTCATTTCACTTGGCGAAAGGCACTGGTCCTGACCCAGTACATTTATCTTATGGTTCCTGACATATCATGATCTAGTTGGAAAAATACTCCACTGAGCCTTGCACTTCTAATCCCATTGAATTTTCCACATGGAAGTTCATTTCCAAGGTTCCTTTAGCAAAACTCACCCCAGGGACCTCAGCAGATGGAGAGAAGGGGGGGGGGGCATCAGGGGGGCTGCATGGGGACTGACAGCTCTGGGCTCTCCCGTCCACAGTGCCCAGCAACAGCCAGGAGCCAGGCTGACCCCAACACATCCTAAAGGTTTTGTGCCAAGTGCTTTGTGAAGGGGGGGCAGCATGGGGGCTGCATGGGGACTGACAGCTCTGGGCTCTCCCGTCCACAGTGCCCAGCAACAGCCAGGAGCCAGGCTGACCCCAACACATCCTAAATGTTTTGTGCCAGGTGCTTTGTGAGTGCTGGGGTACCAGGACGCCTGAGCAGACATGACCCCTGCCCCCAGGATGCTTCCAATCTAGTGATAGACTTGGGCCCAGCGAGTGCACACTGTGAAGCCAGCATTGCAAATCGCTGACTCCCAAGGCTGCATTAGCTCCACAAAACCCACTGTTGCCAGCTTTTCCTGAAAAGTCAAAAGTTCTGGCAACAGAAAACCTCCATTCCTATGTAGCTCCAAAGAGCTTAGTAATCGCTGCCCTTTTGAAATAAGTGTGAACTCTCCAGCTTGTGTAGGTTCTAGCAGGAGGCGACTCAGTACAGCCATTAAGAGTGTGGCCTTTGAAGTCAGCTCTCTAGGTGTGAACATCGGCTCTGCCAATTACGAGCTGTGTTGTCTTGGGCAAGTTGCTTACCAATTCATTCTTAATTTCCACATCTATAAAAGGGGGATGATTAAAACATTCTACTTCATAGGGTTGTAAGAATTAAATGAGTTAATTCATACAAGGTTCTTATAACAGTGCTTGGCAACACAGGAAGTATCCAATAAATATTAGCTGCTATAATGGTTATTGTCATAACGACCTTATACGCAGCTTACCTCACTCATTTGCATTACCTGCCTGTCTCCCGAGATTGCAATCAAATAATCACAATGTCCAAGGCCTACGGAAGAGCAGGGTGCTCTGGGCGTACAGCTGGGTGGCTGACTTAGGAGGTTGGAAAGTGGTCTTGAGTGACAGACGAGCTGAGCAGCCAGGCCCTGGCTGGATGTGCTCTGGGTGCAGAAGGAGCACTGTGGGCGTGGCCCTGAGATCCTGTGGAGCTCAGAGCCTGGGCCGTGCTGGGGGGTGGGCAGCAGGGAGGCAGCCGTGCTGAAGAGCTGGTCACCTGGTAGAATGCAAAGGCACCCAACTCACCTGTTGGAATTTCTGCAGGACAGACTTGGCCAAACTCTTGATATTCTACAAAGACCTGAACCAGAGATCCATCATGGAAAGCCCTGCCAACAGTGTGAGTAGCTCCCTTCTGGGACCCGTCCTGGGTCTGGGAATGTGCCCATCTGCCTGGCCTTGAGGAACCGAGTCAGATCATGGGGTTCTAGCCTGGGGTAGTGGGGACACCACAGGCCAGCCAGGCGGGCAGAGGAAGTGGGGACAGGAAGCCTGCCCACTTCTTCCTCCAACCTGTTCAGGGTCAAGGCTAGCCAGTGGCTCTCGTGGGGATCAGGGTCCCTGCATGTGGTCAGCTCAGGTGGGCTCTGTCTTGATGTTGTGGCTTCGCCTCTCCTGCAGGTGGAGATGCTTCTGTCCAACTTCGGTGGCCAGCTGGGCCTGTGGATGAGCTGCTCCATAGTCTGCATCATTGAGATTATCGAGGTCTTCTTCATCGACTCTCTCTCCATCATTGCCCGCCAACAGTGGCAGAGAGCCAAGAAGTGGTGGTCCCAGAGGCAGGCACCCGCCTGCCCTGAGGCTCCCCCCAGCCTTCAGGGCCAGGACAACCCGGTCCTGGATATAGACGATGACCTGCCCACTTTCACCTCTGCGTTGCGCTTGCCTCCAGCCCCAGAGGCTCAGGTGCCTGGCACACCACCTCCCAGATACAACACCTTGCGCTTGGAGAGGGCCTTCTCCGACCAACTCACTGACACCCAGGTGCCAGCTGAGTCCTGAGGCCGAGCGAGGAAGAGAGACCTAGCCAGGACCGCCAGCCGTGGTCTGAGAACTTGGTCCCCATCTCCTGCACACAGAGGGCCCTCTGCACCCACTCAGGGCTTTTCAGAGACTTTGACTGGAAGTCTGCCTTGAATAACAAGATGGGGCCTGGGCGTGTGCAGGGAGCTGTGGGCCTGCCCAGCAGCACACAGAGCCATCCCGCTGAGACAGGCCCTGCAGCGCAAACCCTCCGCACGCACGGGTGCCCCCGCGGGGGACGGGGCCCAGGAAGTCGTGCCTGGCAGAGTTCTTTGCCAGAACTTGAGAAACACTCCCCAGCTTCCAGCCAGGTGGGGGCCCCAGGATGTGAGCTTAGGTCTGGGTGCCTGACGATGCCAGCTGTGCCCACAACAGGGGGAAGCTCCAGCGGCACTTGGAGCTGTTTGTGAATGAACTGTTTTAGTCACTGACATGGGGGCAATGGCTCCTGAGCCTCAGGCAGGGTCCTAGAGTGTGTAGGAGGGAGAGGGTGCAGGGGGAGGCCTGGGGATGTGAGAGGAGGCCTCTGGGAGCCGGGCGGGGGGGCATGCTCTGGGCAGCTAAGCCAGTGCCCCGGGCCTCTTTCCCAAGCAGAGAGGAGCCAGTTAAAGGGCACTGCTGGACATGCCTGTCCAGTGGTAGCCCGAGGCATAAAGGGTTGTATCCTGATAGACTGCGCCTCCTCCAGGCAGACCCCGCACACTCCCTCCCACAGCCACACCCTCAACATGACACAGCTCATGTATTAAGCACAGAGTGGGTCGATATCAGCACAAGAACAGTGTGCTGGGGCTGTTCTCGCTCTCAAAGAGTTCAGTGTCGGGCTGCAAACTGTGACCCTCAGGCCAAACCCTGGTTTTGCCTGTGACCTAAGATTGGGTGTTTTATCCTCCACTTCTCTTAAAAAATATCAAAAGAAGAATATTTTGTGATTCATGCAAATCCTACGAGCTTCTGATTCCAGTCCATGAATAAAATGTCATTGGAACACAGCCAGGCCTCTTCGCTTACAGACTGTCCGCAGCTGTGTCTGTGCTAAAAGCACAGCTGAGTGCAGTCACAGCGCTGAGGGCTCCCTGGCCCTGGACAGGAAACATCTCCCGGCCCTGGGTTAGCACATAAGGTAAGTATGACGATCCCATTTTATGGATGAAGAAACAGAGGCATAGAAAGGCTATTACTCAAGGTGACACAGCCGGAAGTTGCAGAGCTGGGGCTAACTCCAGAGCCTGCCATGTGATCACATTCATCATTTTGCATCCAATCAGTGTCTGTGCCTTTTGAGGGTGAGGCTCGAGTCAGTTCCGGTGGGAGGAGGGGAAGGCTGGACAAGGCGCTATGGGGCAGAAGGAACTCCTGCAGCCACAGCCTGCATGTCAGGACTGCTTCCCAGGCAAGGTTGACGCTAATGGAGGCAGGAGTGTTAGTGAAAGAGCAGGGGCTGTGGGACACCTGGTCCAACCTGATCCCAGGCCTGTGGCGGCTACAGCCATCCTGTTCCATGCGGTGGTTCACTGGACCTCTGGGGGGGGGGGGCGCGGCAAGGAGGCCTGGCAGCCCGTGGGGAAGAGGTCACGGTGACCCCAGGCTGTCTGAAGCGCCTTGAGGAGTGGGCTCAGAAGCCAGGGCTGATGCAGGCGAGCGTCAGGTTACAGAGGGCGCCAGCCTGGCTGCCATCCATGCCAGGCTGGGTGGCTGCAGCCAGTGCAGACCAGGAACTTGCCGCGGATGCCTGCCTGGACACTGCCCGGAGGGAGCTTCCTCCTTCTCCCCACCGCACAGTCACGGCATCAGCATGATGCCACCGGTAGGAATGTTGCCAGCGAGGAGGGGTTGCTGCTGGCTCTGTCCAAGGTGAGGCCATGGGCACCTGGAGCCAGCAGCTGCCATTTGTCCCCCAGGACACGTGCAATCAGACCCCTGCTCCAGCCACTCCTTCCTGCCTGGCCTGAGCTCGGGCTTATGCTCCTGCGAGACCAAGTGCGGCCGCTCCCCCTCTGGTACACATGCCACCACCGCTGTAACGTCCCCACTCACCTCTGCTGCCCCGGGGAGCTGGCGCCCCTCCATTACAGCGTTTCCACCCCCTGATAGATTCTGTGTCCCTTTGTCTGTCCTGCACTAAATGGTGGACTCTTGGAGAGCAGGAATGGTCTTCCCTCTTCGTCCCCAGACTGGGGCAGGACTGAGAAGGTGATGGCATTTAGGGACAGTTTATGGAGCTAATAAAAATAACAATGGCTGATATTTGTCACGCTCTCCCTGTTTGCGGCTTCTGCTGAGCACCTCGCACACATCAGCTCGTGGGCTCACGCACAGGTATTCTCGCAAATAAGGAAACTGAGGCCCAGAGCGTTCTGAGGGCCCCACCACTCGGTGCGAACCACCGTGCAGAGCCGATGGGAGCTCTCCAAGAGGCCGAGCCCGCCTGCCCCAAGGAAGTGCCCTCGGTCCTCTCGGCCGCAGGTCCAGCCTGCCCAGCTGAAAGGCCTCTTGTGCCAAGACAGGCAGGCGCAGAGGCAGGGAGAACCCTTCATTCCCAGACCCCTGGACAGGCAACCCTGTGGCCAGGAGTTACTGTCTCCAAGGGACAATGGCGCCATTTGTAGGTCAGGGTTACGTTTGTTCTCAGACTCTGCACCTCTGTCCTCCCTGCTCCTCTGACTCCCTTCCCGGGCCCCTGAGTCCCAGACCCAAGTGTCCCCACAGCCCACACAACATGTCCCGGTAACAGAGACACCTCAGACTCAATCCGGCCCCCATGAGCTGTACCCAGGGGAGGCGATAGCTGGCAAAGACGCCGACCGCTCCTGGGCCTGAACCGCCAGCGGGTGTGGATGAGGCCACCGGAGGCCAAGCAGGCGAAGGGGAGGAGAGAGGATGGAGCCCCGGGACCTCTGTGCTCACATAGCAGCTGGAGCATGAGCAGGAGCCTGGACACGAGGCTACCCTCCTCCCTGCCCGCTCTGACCCTCCAGTCCCTGTGCAAAGCCATTATGCTGCACGATAGACACAGATTGCTGATTCCACTGATAGGAATACTCCCAGTGAGTCAGTCCATAAACACAGAAGGTAGATTAGCAGTTGCCAGGGGGGAGGGAGAGGGGAGGAGGCAGAATGGCTGCTCAGTGGGCACGGGGTCATGTCCGGGATGAAGATGCTTTGGGACTAGAGGGAGGAGAGTGTACGAAATGCCACTCAACTGGACACTTTAAAATGGCTAATTTTATGTTGCGTGAATTTTACCTCAATAAAAAAAAGTAAAAAAAAATAATTTGTTTAAATAAAAAGAGTGAGTTGACAAACTCGGAGGCAAGTCAGCCCCCACCTCAGGGGCACACGGGGCTTGCTTTCCTGCTTTTGAACCGCACTGATGTGTTCCTGCGCTCCTCTGAAGAGCACGGTTTTGCACAATTTGAAAAATCTCAGAAAAGAAAGAAAATGGTGAGTAGTCGTCACATAAGGATCTGGGGATATAAACAGTACCCTGAAAGCAACGTGGTGTTCCCGGAAACGCACGAGGGACAAATGTCCCCTCCCCATTGGCAGAGGCAGCCGAGACAGGTCCGCTCCTCTGCTGAGGCAGGGCCAGCCGGTGGAGAGGCCGGTCAGCAGGATCCCTGGGACGGGGCTTTAATTGCAGGCTGCAGGCTGAGCGCCTCACTGTGCCGCTGGAAGCTGGAGGAGCCGGAGGTGACAGGAGCTGACTGTCAACCTCCTTCGGCCCCTCCGCCCGGCCCACCCGCAAGCGCAGGCAGCGACAGACTCTGATGTGACGGCTGTTTGTGACTGACTGCGTGCAATCAGAAATCTGACAGTTGCCTTTTGTTCGTTTTAACTAACACGACCAGAAACGCACATTTGTTTTCATACAAAAGCAATAAATGTTGTGTTAGGAATCTTGTCTGCAAACGCCCAAAACCTCACTCACCTTGGAAGCCCCAGACGCGTGTCCCATCTCTTCCCACCCCTCAAGAGAGCAGGCTTCTCTCTCACAACGATTCCCAAAACCAACGTGGACCCATGGGCTTGCGTGGACACACTTGGCCACGGGTCTTGACCGCAGCACGGACACTGGGCCATGAAACACCGCGGTTGCCAGGCCTGCCGTGTGCGCTCCTGTGGGCACTGGGCAGGCATCTCACCTGCGAGTCGCCTACAGTGCGGGAGAGGCCGGAAGGTGGTCGCCAAAGAGCCGCTGTCCTGCTGCTGCCACAGAAGGAGGGGGTGGGCTGGTTCGCACGAGGCCGAAACCTGCTGCGGGAATTCAGAAAGCGCGGAGGAAAAACAGAGCAGCATCCTCCCATCACGGCAGGCTTTCTTCCTGGCGCCACCGCGTTACCTTTTCATCCCTGAGGGAGCTCACTCACGCTCAGAGGATGCCCAGCCAGCACCGAGACAGCGATTCAGGAAGAACATGAGAAAGAAGAAAAGCAGAGGGAGCTTTGGGGAGACAGAGGCCCCTCTCCTGTAGCCAGCCCATCACTGGTCCCCACCAGCCCCAGGACACACTGCTGCCTCCTTCAATGCCTCCAGTCACCCATCCACCCACCGTCAATGTGTTTGCCCACTCATGTGGCCGTTCACAAACCCATCCACCATCTTTGCACCGCCCATCCAATAATTATCTTCTAAACTCTGGTCAGCCCTAACCGGTTTTGCTCAGTGGATAGAGCATCAGCCTGTGGACTGAAGGGTACCGAGTTTGATTCCAGTCAAGGGCACATGCCTGGGTTGCAGGCTTGATCCCTGGGGGGCAGGAGTGGGTGTATGCAGGAGGCAGCCAATCAATGACTCTCTCTCATCATTGATGTTTCTGTCTCCCTCGCCCTTCCTCTCTGAAATCAATAAAAATATATTTAAAAAACAAACAAACAAACAAAAACTCTGAAGTCAGACTACCTGGTCCTAGGACCTGGTTTAAACCAAGTCCCAACACTTTCAGCTGTTTGGCTTTGGTCAAGCTACTTAGCCAATCTGTACCTCAGTTTTCTCATCTGTAAAGGGGGCTAATAACAATTTCCACTGCATAAGATTGGTTTTGAGGATAAAGTGAAATAAGGCAAATACTAAAATCTTAGCTAATAGTCTGACTCACAAAAGAGGCTCGGTAAAGTGTTCTAGCATTAGGTTTCTGTTGTTTTTATAACATTTAGTGTTTTTATTATCAGACATTTGCCAGGTAACTGAATGGGCTAAGATTGGGCCAGCACAGCAACTTTTCCCTCTTTGCTGCCCTTGAGGCAAATTATGGCTACAAAGAACTGTGAGGAATCAAGGAAATGTCCTCCAGGACTTACTGATAAAAACAAACAAACAAACAAAAAACTACTGTATCTTCATTTTCTAAAAAGGCAGCTCAGACTTTGCAACTCCTAAAAGTCCTCAAGGTCTGGCCCTGAGATCTGCTGTTGCTGATTAAACTTCCTGGCTGAGGGCTAGGTAAACTGGACCACTGGGGGCCCCCATTTTAATGTGGGGTGGGGGGGACAGACAGGCTTACAGAAAAGCTCCTCATCACGTCTCCCTCCTGGGCAGAGACATCAGGGAAGGGAAGGAACACTGGATTTAGGTCTCTGAACCAAGGCTCGAGATCTTGAAATAATGTTCCAGGCCCTCCCGAGTGATGACGCAGTTCATGAAATAAGGGGAGACTATTGTGGACGAAGAGGGGTTCTTCGAAAGTCACCTCACAGGTGATCTGATCATAAATTCCTAACTGGGCAGGTCATGGTGGGTAGCCACACCCCTGACACTTAACTTCTTTAGTGAAAGGTTTATCTTTACCGTGGCCAAGCCCTGTCCACTACTCTTGTACATCAGCTTTGAAATCCAGAGTGATCCTCCTTTTCAGGTCCCTGGGAGGAGTAGCCACCCTCGGGAGAGCACATATTCTTGCTAACTATTCTGTAATCCCCACCTTGCCTTCTCCCACCTCCATGCAATCTTCCTTGGTTCCCCCCTAATTCCAGACGCACAAAGGCACCTGCAAACTCTCACTCTGGGAAGCATTTTTCTCAGTCGGTGAAGATCTTGCTTCCCGGCAAAGCCTCTGTTTCTCAAATAAATTCTCATGAAACCTCTCTGCAGTTGTGGGCCTTCTTATGCTGACACCGTGGCTGCCCTGAGCAGGCCAGCTTGCTCCGGAGGCTCTGTGCTGAGTCTGAACAGAGAGAAAAGAACAGGATCAGGGTTTGGCATGGGACCTAAATCAAGGGTCAATCTCTGGCCAGAGGAGGGCCCAGCCCATAGGCAGGGTCAGGGGTCAATCTGTGGTCAGAATCAGGGTTCAACCCAGGGCGCAGTCCCTGAGCAGGTCCCTGGTCCTGATAACCCTGCTTGTTATTGGTGGGGGCTGCTCCTCGCCCACAGGTGTTTCTCAGAGTGGACGTGACTCTCCTGCACTTGACCTTTTCTGTCACTTCCGTGTCATTTCTTTCACTCTTCCTTCGAAGCTCCTGGCACAGGTCATACCAGCCCTGTTCATTCTTGCCCACTTCACCCACTGTCACCCCTGGAAGACTTCAGCCCCGATGCCCTGTTTTGTTATTGTATTTGTGCTTTTTTCATTGTGGCAGCTACCCCAGCTCAGGGGTAGGGAAGGAGAGGGAGGGAGAATATTTTGACTCAGTGAAATGAAATGATGAGATGCATCCAGCTTTAGGCATGGACGGACCTAGTTGTGCAGTCAGCTGTTGGGGCTCCATCCATCCTTCTCCCCAGTTCCATGGTCTCCTCGCCTTTATGCTTAGACCACTTCTCTTATACAGTGGGAAGATGGTCTTCCCCCAGAGACCCTTCTTCCCCCAGCTTTCATAAGGCAAACTCACCAGAGGAATCTGATTGGTCCTGCTTGGGTCACATGCCCAACTCTGAACCAATCACTGTGGCTGGAGGATGGAGTATTCTTGTTGGCCGTTTTTGCATCACATACCCATCCCTGCTAAGGGTGAGTTCTGCCCAAATCACACAAATCCCCGGAGAATGGTGGCTGAGCAAGCAAGCATAGGTCCTAACCTTGAGCAATAGGTGCTAAATTGAACTTGAACTGGGCATGACCCACTCAGTCAGGAGACCTCACAATTCCCTGAGCTCCTCCATTCCAATCGCTTTCATCTCCATTCCTCTGTAGCCACCCACTCCCAGGGCTACCTTTTGGATATAGACATACCTCCCATCCCTCCACCTTTCCTACTCTGTCCTCCCTCCACCCCCGCTTCTTGACCCAATCCGAATCTCAGGACC